ATCTGACTAATACTTGTCAGGATAACTTTGGTGACCTGAAACTCAAGTGAAACTGCACTTTTAGGACTCTTTTCCCCCTTGAAGATATATTTTGGTTGAGAATATATCTGAGACCACTTGGGGATAGAATGGAAGAGAAACATGTCACTTCAATGCATATTGCATACGGCATTCTCTAGCTTTAGCATATCCCATCCTTCAAATCAATGATGATTGTAAGCAGGCACCACCCGTGTCTCCTGGAGGGCTTTCAACTGAAGTAGTATTTTATTAATTATTATCATTATTATTATTGATTTTTTTACCGTTCCTTGTCTTTCTCACTTTAAAAGGTTTGCTCACTCTCTGATTCTTTATGGTATTTTTTTAAGGAAATTGCCACAAGAGTTTTTATCATTTTTAAATCCTTCCTTTCCCTTCTTACTGTAAATAATAAGCATGTCACGTTCAATTCTTATTGAAATCTCTTTCTTCATCAAGTTGCATTCTTTCATTGCATGTTCACGTGAGTTTGATTTGCAGGGTTGCTAAAGAGCTCTAAAATGCACATACAAGTTTGTTGGATAAGGTTAATGAAGATTATTGGGTTGCTCTATTATTGCAGGGTGGGTCATTGCATGGGCAACAGGCTTCAGTCATTTGTTTTAATGAACAGCAGTGAAGTACTTGTGTTGAGAAAAAATATGGAGGGACAAATGCTGAAGTCCTCACTGAGGACAAACTCCTAATTAAGTTAATAAGACTTTTTGCCTGAGTAAAGACGGGATAAAGTTGAGTAAGTGCTTTTGGATGTGGCCCATATTTTGTCATACTAAGGGTGCTGCAGGAATCAATGAGTATCTCAGGTGGCTTCCTGCCCTGAGTTGCAGGAGTGTATGGGTACTTCAGATGGGCATGTTTTATAACATGTTTCTGGCAGTTGATTTTCTTTTCTTCTCAACCTGTAGGTCAGCAAACTTGAAAGAGAAAAGATTCAAGAAACTAAGCGGATCAGAGAATTGGAGCAACGCAAGCAGACTGTGCAGATTACTGAACTTAAAGCCAAACTCCATGAGGAGAAAATGAAAGAGCTGCAGGCAGTGCGGGAGAACCTAATCAAACAGCACGAGCAGGAAATTACTCGGACGGTTAAAGTCAGAGACAGTGAAATCCAGCGCCTCAAGTCAGCACTGTATGCTTTGCGGGATGGGAGCAGTGACAAAGTAAGGACAGCGCTGACCATTGAGGCTCGTGAAGAGGCCAGGAAACAGTTTGACTCCGAGCGCCTTAAACTTTTGCAGGAAATTACTGAACTAAAATCTGCCAAAAAGCAGGTGGACGAGGCCCTTACCAACATGATCCAGGCTGATAAGATCAAGGCGGGTGATCTTCGGAGTGAGCATCAGTCCCATCAGGAAGCCATCTCTAAGATCAAATGGGAGAGTGAAAGGGATATTCGCAGACTGGTTAGTAATCTCCCTATGCACCAAACAGCTGGGGTGACTCCTTACAGCCTTCTTGATTTGCCTCTAGTGCTGATAGGTTTCCTGTTCAGTCAGACCCAGGCAGTGCAAATTAGTTTGCAAACAGATTAAAATACTCCCAATTACCACATCTCTCTTGGAATTAGGTGAGATGAAGTTGGCGGGAGCTGCTGATGTGAGCTACTCACGGGGCTACTGGAACCCAGGAGGAAATATGCTAATGGTATATTCTGTAACAAATTGGTAGTTTGTGTGTGTATAAAGAGATACACACACACACATGCACGCACAACACACCACTGCCGCCCTTTCTGGATGGAATCAGAGCTTCTCCCTGCTATGGCCCTATACTGCTAACGGGAATTCTCTTTTAGCTCTAGTGGTAGGGGCCTGTGCTTTGGAAGCAGGAGGCTCTCACCGGACTCGCTGCATAAATATTATATCTGCCATCTACAGCAGGAGACGTCAGTTGCTTCTGCGGTACCCATGGCCACTCAAAACTTCACCACAGCAGCAGGAATAGGCCCTAGATCCTCCTTCCCCGAAAACACAGGTCCCCAGCACTTGGGTTAAAGGAGAATTTCAGTGTGCAGTATAGGGCGTAAAACATGCAGATTTATAGCTTTACCAGATTAGTAGATGTAACACCTTTGCATCCCAAACATGGCTTAACTCTTTCTATTAGTCTTTCTATTTCCTCTCTGCTTGTCCACCTGCATTTCTTTTTCAAACATTCTACTTACGGGAAAGTGGAGTTCTCCTCCCAGCTTGCAGTGCAGCAGAAGTAGCTCTATCACAAAGAACACTGTAGTGATGTTCTTCTCTGCAGTGACTTTGTCTTTCTAGCAATCTGACACAAAATTAAACCACCTGCACTGCAGGTGCTGGGTGTTTTAGCTAGAAGTGGGACTGAACAAAAGCCCTCAGCTGTACATCCCTGAAATCCCAACCCAGCTCTATAAGACTCTGTCTTTGTAGACATGATCAAGATCCTGCCTTAGGGCTAGTTTGTGCCATTGAGCCATTGGACTGTGTAGGGAACTGTGCAGCCCCAAGGGACAGCTTTGGGATGGATTATGCCTCAGAAGGCACAATTCCTAGTAGAGTGCCAGGAAGTGCAAAGGGAGTGTGTGGGGATCCCTCTCCATAGTCCTGGTGCTGCCCCCCTCTACAAACCTCTCAGCCTCTTTTGGGCAAATTACACAGAGTTCTGTGACTGACTGTTCCTGGTTCTTGGCCAGTGTGTTGACAGAGGGAAAAGGCTTCATGTGCTTTCCTTCTTCTACCAGCATTGTCCCAGTAACTAATGCTAAGGCCAGGCACAGTCTGGCACCTAATAGTGGACTGAACAGAACCATTGGATCCAAACACCCCAGAACTTGAGGGGGAAATCTAGATCCAGATTTTGCTGCTGGGGCCCATCTATAATTGTTAATTCATATGCAACATAAAATCAAATTAATCTTCAGAAGCCAGCAGCATGCAATGTGAAGGTCCCAAGCAAAGAGGAAATACTGGTTTTTGCCACACTGCGGTTTCCTCCAGATATTCCAAGAGGTTTCCTACATGTTAATAAATCTCAGATTTGTATTTTCAACAATCAGAGGATTTATCGTGCTGGCTTCAGAATACTGGACCATCAATTCCCTCTATCAGTGTCCAAACCTTGTGCTGCAGAAGAAGATGGGAACAAAAAGCCATGCAACCAGTCAAATGCGCAACACTAAGCAGCACTTAGATATGCCAGCGATAGGTACTTCATTATTTCAGATAGATAGATAGATAGATGATACTCCTCCTAACCTCTGTACTGATGAGCTTAGATCCCTAAGCCATAGCTTAGCTGTGTACAATATCTACAGTTTTTATTATTGGCCATAAAATTATTATTATTTATTATTATTATTATTACGGCTGTCAATTATCGCAGTTAACTCACATGATTAACTCAAAAAAATTAATTGTGATTTAAAAAAATGAATTGCGATTAATCGCAGTTTTAATTGCACTGTTAAACAATAGAATACCAATTGAAATGTTTTAAATATTTTGGATGTTTTTCTACATTTTCATATGCATTGTACTCTGTGTTGTAATTGAAATCAAAGTGTATATTATTTTTATTACAAATATTTGCACTGTAAAAATGATAAACAAAAGAAATCGTATTTTTCAATTTTCTTCATACAAGTACTGTAGTGCAATCTCTTTGTTGTGAAAGTGCAACTTACAAATGTAGGGTTTTTTTGTTACATAACTGCACTCAAAAACAAAACAATGTAAAACTTCAGAGCCTACAAGTCCACTCAGTCCTACTTCTTGTTCAGTCAACCGCTAAGACAAACAAGTTTGTTTATATTTACAGGAGATCATGCTGCCCTCTTCTTATTTACAATGTCACCAAAAAGTGAGAACAGGCATTTGCATGGCACTTTTGTAGCTGGCATTGCAACGTGTTTACATGCCAGATATACTAAACAATCGTATGGCCCTTCATGCTTCGGGCACCATTCCAGAGGACATGCTTCTGTGCTGATGACGCTCGTTAAAAAAAATAGTGCATTAATTAAATTTGTGACTGAACTCCTTGGGGGAGAATTGTATGTCCCCTGCTCTGTTTTACCCGCCTTCTGCCATATATTTCATGTTATAGCAGTCTCAGATGATGACCCAGCACATGTTCATTTTAAGAACACTTTCACTGTAGATTTCACAAAACACAAAGAAGGTACCAATGTGAAATTTCTAACTAACCAAAGTTTAAGAACCTGAAGTGCCTTCCAAAACCTGAGAGAACGAGGTGTGGAGCATGCTTTCAGAAGTCTTAAAAGAGCAACACTCTGATGTGGAAACTACAGAACCCAAACCACCAAAAAAGAAAATCAACATTCTGATGGTGGGATCTGACTCAGATGATGAAAATGAACATGCATTGGTCTGCACTGCTTTGGATTGTTATTGAGCAGAACCCGTCATCAGCATGGCCGCATGTACACTGGAATGGTGGTTGAAGCATGAAGGGACATATGAATCTTTAACGCATCTAGCACGTAAATATCTTGCGATGTCAGCTAAAACAGTGCCATGCAAACACTTGTTCTCACTTTCAGGTGACGTTGTAAACAAGAAGCTGGCAGCATTATCTCCTGCAAATATAAACAAACTTGTTTGTCTTAGTGATTGGCTGAATAAGAAGTGGGACAGAGTGGACCTGCAGGCTCTAAAATTTTACATTGTTTTATTTTTGAATGCAGTTATTTTTTGTACATAATTCAACATTTGTAAGCTCAACTTTCATGATAAAGAGATTGCACTACAGTACTTGTATTAGGTGAATTGAAAAAAATATTATTTCTTTTGTTTTTTTACAGTGCAAATACTTGTAATAAAAAATAAATATAAAGTGAGCACTGTACACTTTTTATTCTGTTGTAATTGAAATCAATATATTTGAAAATGTAGAAAACATCCAAAAATATTTAAATAAATGGTATTCTATTATCGTTTAACACTGCAATTAATTGCATGATTAATTGTGATTAATTTTTTTAATCGTGCGATTAATCACGATTAATTTTTTAATCACTTGACAGCCTTATTTTCATTATAAATTAAATTTAATCTAAAGGGAAATTGGAATTCTAGTTGAGCTAATAATATATATTTGCAATGCCCCAAACAAGAATTTGATCCATTAGTGTCAGGATAAGAGAAGAGTTGTATTAGATATTACATGATTTCTTACTGCACATTGTGGTTATGTCTCTGTCTGCAGTTGCTACCTACCAGCTTTTCTAATACAAATGATAGTATGGAAAGATTTTAAACAGCGGAGCGGAGCAAAGTTCTCTGCTCTCGTCTTTATGATGTCATCAACAGTTATAAAAACAACACAGAAGGTCAAATTCAGTGCTGGGGCAAGTGGCTACAACTCCACTGGCTTCAAAGGAGTTTTGCCCACATGCAACAGCAACAAATTTGGTCTGGAAAGTTGAATTCACGATCTGGTAGGTAAGCGCAAAAGAATAGTGATTTGTAAATTCAAATTAATTCTTTTTTCATTTTTAAATCGGTGGGCTAGACCTTAGACTGGTGTAGATCACAATATTGCCATTACCCAGTGTTCAGAAAAAATGGGAAGTCAGACCCCCGAAATCAGGAGACTGGTTTAGTAATCATGAGAGTTTCAAAATACTCAATGTTGGGTTCATTCTGGTTGGCCTTTTGCTTTTTTGAGCCTTTATGGTACTCTTGTGTCATATTTTCAAGCTTTTCTCTGTAATCCTGAGGACTAAGATCTTCCTTTTATTTCTTAACTGGAAGCTCAAACTCTCACACAATGCCATGCCTCCAGGATGTGGGCTTTAAGATAAACAGTAAATAGCATGAGACTCTCAACAAAATTGTGAGAGTTGGCGACACTGATCAACTCAGCCCAGCCCTGGATGAATATTCTGTGAGTGATTTGGTATTTTAAGCAGAAAAAATAATCCCTTTTTAAAGCTTTTGTTTGTATAAGTGCCATGCACTAGGTCAGACTTCGATCTCATTTACGCCAGTGTAAATCCACTGTATCTCCACTGGAATCAATGGGGTTGCATCAGATTGACATGTGTGTAACAGAGATTAGAATCTGGCCTAGGGTTGCCACCTGTCCGGGTTTTACCTGGACAGTCCAGGTTTTGGCTTCTGTGTCTGAGTGCCATCTGGCCCATTAATTTGAAAATATACTTTTGGGAGGATTTCAGTATGCATGAAAGGTGACAGGATCGGTAAATATCTTTGAGGCTCTGGGCAAAATTCAGCACAGTCAGCATTCTGGTTTTGGGGAAATGACTCGTGTAACTTTCACAGGTTAACATGCATTTTTTTTTCCTGGGTGTTTTACAAATTCTGAGTCACTGAATTTCCATAGTCTCAATGGCATTTAGCTGGCTCGTACCTATCTTTAAAGTTTTCAGGGCTTATGTGCGGTGATCTTATTCTAAACGTTAGTTACCCCCTTCTCTTCTAGTCTTCCAATGTAACTGCCTGGACAGCAACAGTCATCCAGATTCTAGTTAAAGGGATGAGTCACTTCAATATGTGCTGGATCTGCCTGGAACATTAGGCAGGAGTGATACAGCTAATGAAACTTATGGACCTTGATTCTCCATTCATTAGAATGACACTGCCAACAGGGAGCGGAGAACAAGGCCCCTAGACTGCAAGTCTACTAAATAGAGGGGAAGATCCTCAGCTGATGTAAATCAATGAAGCTGTGTCAATTTACACCGGCTGAGGATCTTACATCTGTGCAAAATGAGTATACAGACCATATCCTCAGCTGGTGTGAATCAACATAGCTCCATAGCTGGGAATCTAGCCTAATCATATTAATTTTGGTTGTTTTACACTTACTTTGAACTGGTCCCCTGGTGCAACACCATCAACTGTGGTCACTCTGGCTGGCGCTTCAGTCTTCCAGAGACTGTGCATGTTTGATGATGATGAAGGTGATAGACTAAACTCTTGGTCTGATTTTCAGAGAAAGTGAGCACCTGCATCTCTCATGTACATCTGCAGGGAGTGAAGGACCTGGATATCTTTGAAAATCAGTCCATATTTTGTGCATAGATGTACTTCTATATCATACAATGTATGGCCTTTGCTCATCATAGACTGACTAATCCGATGTGGTAACTATTTGTTTTTTATGATGTTGAGGAAGTGTGTAATCCATGAGTTTGGTGTACTATTTAACAGCAGATACAGCGGTGAACATAGGGTGACAGACAGCAAGTGTGAAAAATCGGCACGGGGGTGGGGGGTAATAGGTGCCTATATAAGAAAAAGATGCAAAAATCGGGACTGTCCCTATAAAATCGGGGCATCTGGTCACCCTAGGTGAACAACAACGGTAAGGTGATCTCTCCTTACTCCTGCAGTGCTGACATTCTGTGGGGCTTGTGCAGTAACATTGTGCTTTTATTTCTTAATTTAGATGGACGAAATCAAGGCTAAAGACAGAATCATCTTTTCCTTGGAGAAAGAACTGGAGACCCAGACAGGCTATGTACAGAAGCTCCAGCTGCAGAAGGAGGCTCTGGATGAACAGCTCTTCTTAGTGAAGGAGGCGGAGTGTAACATGAGCAGTCCCAAACGAGAGATCCCAGGAAGAGCAGGAGATGGGTCAGAGCACTGTAGCAGTCCTGTAAGCAGGTTTAAATGTAATCCAAAATACAGACAATGGGCTTTATTTGGGTTGCAAAATTATTTTGCCCAATTCCTGCATCATTTTCATGTTGCTATAGTAGTTAAGCCTCACTCTGTGAAGTGTCTTCTAGTGGCAATTCTAATTACAGGAAATAGTACTTGGCACAGGAAATGTCTGTTGGACTAAACTATTCAGGGCCTATTTCTTTACTTACACGTTTGTGCAAAGCAGGTATAAGAAGATAAGGCAGTTGAGAATGACAGTGTTTTCCTTGCTTTCCAACCTGAGGTTCTTTCTGAAATAACCCTCCTAAATAGAGTTGTTCAGAAAATAAGGAGGAGAGTGTTTCTGAGGAAAATTTCTACAAAAATGAAACATTTTTAGTTTTTGTCAAAATTTCATCAGAAATTTTTAATTTTTAATCAAAACACAAAACCAGAATTTTTATTCCAACAACTGAAAAATGAAAACTTTCAACTGGAAACTGTCAGAAATCAAAAAATAAAATCCCATGGAAAAAATGTTCAAGGAAAGCAGGCACTTTGAGAAAATTTTAAATCAACAACCTAATTTTGATTCAAAAAAGTTCCAATGGAAAAATTTTAACCAGTTCTGTTCCTCAGTCTAGAAACCCCTTCCTATGAATCTTCCTCCTCAGATATATCTGCCAACGTCCAAAGGAAGCTGCCCTCAAGGCTCAGTTTTAGACCTATCCAAGTTTCTTCCTTGCAAGTGTTTATGTTTCCCTTTGCTTTGAGCAGTTAATGCTTCCTGAGCCAATGAGTTCAGACCAATGATCTGAGCTTGCACCTTATGTAGTCATCAACACCAGTGCACACTGAATGTAAACTGCTACCAACAGAATGGCCTGCCATTTGCACCCATGTTGCACATGAGTCAATGACCACACAAGCTGCATTGGATAGTACAGAATGAGGTCCATGCTGTTTTAACTTTTGCCCAGCATCTAGGTACTTGTGACAGACATTGTAAATAATGTTAACCTTACAAATGAGTTTCATTTAATTAGAAAATGATGGAGTGTTCCTCTTCTTTGTGAGCATTCCAGTCCATTTGTTTCTTGTCCAATGGACAGTTTCAGAGGAGCTAGAAACAAAATGTTCTTTCTTTCAATTTACAGGATTTACGCAGAAATCAGAAGAGGATGGCAGAGCTGAATGCCACTATCCGGAAGTTGGAGGACAGGAACACACTGCTTGTAGATGAACGAAATGAACTGGTGTGTGCTCTTGTCTGTGTCAGATTGGGGAGGCGAGGAGCTGTAAGGAAAGGAAAGAAGAGGAGCCTCCAAGGGTGTTAGAGGCAGAGAAAGTTCATGCTGTGACCACCCACTACCTCTAGGGCCCAGGGCATGAGGGGGTTGGAAATGGCATTGTGATACTCAGGTAGGCTCAGCTGCCTCAAGGCCTAAGCCAAAGCCCATTGAAGGCAATAGCAAGTGGCTTGGGATGAGGCCCTTGGACATTAGTCCACCACATTCACTGCCCTCCTGGTATTTGCTGTCTCTTGTGTTTCAATTTAACATGCTACCATTCTGTGTATCATGGAATGCCTGAGAAAACACCTCATAAAGCACAACATGGTAGCTCATTACATTTAAACCCACGAGGCAACAGGGGGCAGCCAGGGCCAGCCCCAGCTGCCAAATGAATCCAGCTCCTGCATCTTCTGGCCCCACTCACCCCAGCCAAGGGGCCTCCTCAGAGGGCTCTGTGGATGATGGTTACGTTAGAATTTCTGTTGGGCTCTACGTCTCCTGCCAGTCTAGGGCTCAGGTCCACAGTTCATAGGGGTCTAAGCTTAATCTGCCACAGTTCAGAGGGTTCTTGAGGACCCTACCAGGAAATTTCACAGTAACCCTGTCAGCCAATCTGAGATGGATTTCCTGTTTCACTGGTGACATGTTTTTTCTAGTTCTGCTACAGATGAACAGCCCACAATCCCTGAACTCCAGCAAGGACACTGTGTCACAATAAATAAATTGGACTCATAGGGCCGTGATTCTGATCTCACCAATTAACTATTGACTTCAATGGAGTTACACCAACATGAGATCACAGTCAAAATTGGTGGGCCTTTCTGTATTCGCTGCCTTGACCTTTTCGTATCAGGGGTTCCTGAGCAAACAGCAGCATCTGGTCAGTATACTGTAAATCAAAGACTGACTGTTTTTCAACATTTTTTGGCATATAAGAATAGCCAGGGTGAGGACAGTATAAATAGCAGATCTATACAGAATGGATTACAGTGTTGCCTGATTTAGGAGGTTAATATTATTAATTTGGATAGTATGGGTTATAGACTCGCCAGTTAATCTGATCAGAAGATAATAAGGTTTCTGTCCCAGAATCAGGCTACACAGAGTATGCAAAGGACCCTCGGGGGTATGACAGGATGCTCACACTGAGGCAAATATAGTCTTAAAGACTTTTATTGAGATAAATGGAATTATAATTAAATAGTAATTAAATGGTATTATATACTATAAAGCTTTTGATTAATATACTCACACCCTTTCTTGATGACCTGGTGATAAGAGACAAAGCACCAGCCTTGCCTCAGGTTCCTTAATTCTTCAGTGGGAGGTGCAGAGTTTAGAAGAAGCTAGAGCTAAGAACTATTGCAGCTAACTTAGGGCTTGTCTACACTACCGACCGGATCGACGGGCAGCGATCGATTCAGTGGGGGTCGATTTATCGTGTCTAGTATAGATGCGATAAATCAACTACCGATCTCTCTAGCATCGACTCCAGTACTCAACGAGAAGCAAAAGGGGAATCGACGGGAGAGCGTCTCCCATTGACACACCGCAGTTATTCACATAGCTGAAGTTGCGTAACTTAGATCGATTCCCCCCCCCCATAGTGTAGACCAGCCCTTAGAATTTTACTTAACTAACTGACTTAAAACTTAAAATTAAACTAACAGACTAATAAACTAAGAGTTTAGAAACTTAGAGAACAAGCTCTGAAGCACAAAACTTAGAAAAACCCTCAGAAGATTAGAAGTTTAGACACTTTTTGGCAAGGTGGGTCACCCTCTCTTATAGGGCTTGAGCACTCAGGCCCTCCTTCTATGTCTTGTGACAAAGTTCCTCCTCTATCTTGGTGGGTCCTGCGCTTATCGGCGGATTTTCTTTCCTCAGAGATTCACCATGTGGGTTGGGGAACAGCCCAGAGACCTTCCCCTCTGGAAGAACCCACAGTCCAGGTCAATTGGGAGGTTTGGGGGGAACCTGGGCCCGCCCTCTACTCCGGGTTCCATCCCAGGGCCCTGTGGACCGCAGCTGTCTATAGTGCCTCCTGTAACAGCTGCATGACAGCTACAACTCCCTAGGCTACTTCCCCATGGCCTCTTCCAAACACCTTCCTTATTCTCACCACAGGACCTTCCTCCTGGTGTCTGATAACGCTTGGGCTCCTCAGTCCTCCAGCAGCACACCCTCTCCCTCTCAGCTCCTTGCGCCTCTTGTTCCCAGCTCCTCACACTCGCACCACAAACTGAAGTGAGCTCCTTTTTAAAACCCAGGTGCCCTGATTAGCCTGCCTTAATTGATTCTAGCAGCTTCTTCTTAATTGGCTCCAGGTGTCCTAATTAGCCTGCCTGCCTTAACTGGTTCTAGCAGGTTCCTGATTACTCTAGTGCAGCCCCTGCTCTGGTCACTCAGGGAACAGAAAACTACTCATCCAGTGACCAGTATATTTGCCCTCTACCAGACTCCTGTACCCCACTGGTCTGGGTCTGTCACAGTCCAAACTTAGCGTTCTCACCCACGGAAATGTTGGGGTACACTTACTCCATAGGCTGGTATGTTTGTACGTATTGATGACATATACATACATATTAGTGACATTAGATCATTCTTACATTTGTTATTTGTGTCCTCCCGGTTATTTCGGTTCTTTCCTTGTGGTGTACCTGTTTACAGAGGGTATGAACTTCGGAAAGCCCCCTATGCCAACCTGCTTCAACGCATCCTTTATCTATGTTAAAGGCCACAGCCATATGTGGACCTTATGCCTTAACTCATCACTATTTATCTGGGCGAAAGGTCCCAGATATATGTAGGCTAACTTTGCTATCTGGGTGAAAGGTCCCAGACATATGTAGACTAACTTTGCTATCTGGTGAAAGGTCCCAGACATATGTGTGCTAACTTTGCCTTAGTTCAACATACAGAATGTGGCCTGTGGGTCCCTTGCGTTACAGCCAAACTACTTTAATATAAACCTAAAAACCTATTATAATAAAACAAACAATCAAAACCATAAGAAAATAAGAAACCTATAAGAAAAGATATATAGGCAAGCAAGCAGACTAGCCCTAGAGGCTACAGCAGTAAATTCATTCCTTTATCAGATTGACTCTTAGAATGGGATAGGTATGCCTTTAAGGCCTTGTCTACACTTGCAAGTTGTAGCGCATTAAATCAGCCCCGGGTGCCCTAACTTCTGAGGTGTCCACACTGGCAAGGCACTTAGAGCACCCGGACCCCGCGGCTGGAGCGCTCCTGGTAATCTACCTCCATAAGAAGCATAAAGCTTTCTGCGCCCCGGCTACAGCGCCGGGGTGTCAGTGTGGATGACGTGTTGCATTACTGCGCTGTGATTGGCCTCTGGAAACGGCCTGAAGTCAAGTGGCCACTCTGGTCATTGTTTTGAATTCAGCTGCAGGCATGCGGATATCCCCTTTCAAAGCTCCGTTTCTGACAGCACGCATGCTTATCTGCTCCGGGACACAAAGCAAACCATTACGGTGGAATGCTCCTGCTGAAGTGGCGGGGGGGGGGTGTGACAGAGAGAGAGAGAGAGGCGAGGGTGGGAGGTGTCAGGTTTCCTCCTTCCCCCTGCCGCTGTCTGAACTTACAAGACAGCATGCTGACACACTCTGCCCCCCAAAACACATTGTCTCTCCCCCCACATACACACAACACACTCCCTGTCACATTCCCCCTCCCCCCCCCCATTTGAAAAGCAGCTGGCAATCTAGTAGGATGTCCATGGAATAATGGGATTGGGAAACTTGCATCATGTGACATTGTGCCTGCCCCATTAGGCATTGCAAACCCTTTCCAAAGCACGCTGCAGCCACTTGCACACTGGGATAGCTACCACAATGCACTGCTCTCTGTGGCGTTGCAAGAGCTGCTAATGTGGACATGCTCCACAGTCACAAGGAGCACAGTGTGAACACACAGCAGCCCTTTCCCTGCTGCTGTCTCCGAGGGCTGGTTTAACTCTCGGTGCTCTACATCTGCAAGTGTAGACATAGCCAAAGTGAACATCAGTGCTTTTTGACCCTCAGCATTTCTGCAGTTGTGGTAACAGATTAAGGTTTTGAAAAGCACAGCTGTTTCCATTACGTTCATCATGGAAGCAGTAACCATAATTAACTCAGTATGTGTTAATATAGATATCTTATGTGCCTCTATGGTATTAATTAACTAATACTTGTAAATGATGTCTTACCAACATTTTGTCTTACCAACATTTCAGTAATACTGCAAAATGCATTACTTGTATTGATTTGATTATGTCTCTCTCTCAAAAACTTGGCTTCTAAAAGATTATACCATTAACATTCACCCTACTTTGCTCTTATGGATATCAAACTTTTAAATTACTGAAGTCTTTTTTAATGAGAAAATGCCACTTCTTTGAAAATGACTGTAAACAGACCTTAGATAATGGGCGTATTTATTAAATAATACAGTATGACTAAGTACTGTGCCATGGAAGGAAAAGACCCAAAGGACAATGGAAAAGGGACAAAGGGCTTCATGCCTAAAATGTGGCAACTTGAAATTCCTCCTTCCCAGCCAGAAAGGATTGTTTTGTTTTGTCTTTTTAAACAGGAAAACCCAGTGTTATTCAGTGGAACTCATCTTGTAAGGAAGGAGGACATTTAAGTGGATAGGAATAGACATGGGAATATTAGAACATCCTACTACCTACAAAAATGCCTTATTGCTATTAAGCAATGGTTTGATTAAAATAAACCTACTGTTTTATACAAATATATACATGGTCTGTTGTCCATCAAGAGCCCAAGCTATGGATGTGATATTTACTATCAGCATGACTTGGACCATTCAAGGACCAATCCAACTCTTTCTTTTGGTAAGGAAGTCAGTATGACACAGTCGACAGGTTCTATTCCCAGCTCTGCTTCTGGCCTGCTGGGTGACCGTGGACAAGTCATGTTGTCTCTCTGTGCCTCAGTTTCCCCATCTGTAAAAGGGGGATAAAGATATTGACCTCCTTTGTACAGTGCTTTGAGATCTATGGATGAAAAGTGCTATATAAGAGTTAGATGGTATTATTCTGTCAGTTCCATTTCATACTTTTGTTCAGGGCTTTGTTGGGACAATAGTCACCTGGGAAGGAGAGAGAAGGCAAGAGCCCATAGCGAAGGAAGGAAAATCCATTTTTAACCTGTCATTATTATTCATTATTACAGTTGAAACGTGTTCGAGAAGCTGAAAAACAATGCAAACCTCTCCTTGAAAGGAACAAGTGCCTCACCAAGAGAAACGATGAACTGATGCAGTCTTTGCAGCGCATGGAGGAGAAACTCAAAGCAATCACAAAAGAAAATGTAGAAATGGTTGGTATTGAACACCAAGTAAAGATCTGTATATATATGCACTTCCACAGGCTTTGAAGTGGTCTTTCATAAATTAGATTTACAGGCCTTCACCATGAAAAACAGTTGTCCCCTCATTTCATGTCTTACTGTGAAATTTTCCTTCCATCCAAGCCTGTCTGTAATTACTTTATGGAAGGGAAAATATTAAGAGCTACATTTTCAGCCAGCTTCATGTTGGTCTTTGCGTTTGCATTTTTATGTGCACATCTGTGGCAGATAAAGAGCATCATCTGCCTCACAGAACCTCCACATGTCAGGCATTTGGGCAGCCTGGGTGCACGCATCATTTGTGGGCATAACTAGATGCACGTGGAAAAGTGGGCATACAAATGTGAGGTCTGGAGCTGTAAACTGCACCACAAATGGAAGGCCTGGAGCTGTAAATTTCACCCCAAATAGTTGTTCTATTGTATGTGGTTGCTACACTTTTTTACATGTGGGAAAAGCTCTCTTCTTTATAAATCCATTAGCATGGAACTGCTGCAGTTTTCAAAGGGGGTATAACACTTCCCCACACTCATTTTGGTGTTGCTTTGGCATTAATAAAATGCACAAGTAATATCTATGGCAGGGGTCGGCAACATTCGGCACGCGGCTCGCCAGGGTAAGCACCCTAGCGGGCGAGCCAGTTTATTTACCTGCTGACGCGGCAGGTTCGGCCGATTGTGGCCCCCACTGGCCGCGGTTCGCCGTCCCGGGCCAATGGGGGCGGCAGGAAGCGGCGCGGGCCGAGGGATGTGCTGGCTGCGGCTTCCCGCCGCCCCCATTAGCCCGGGATGGCGAACCGCGGCCAGTGGGGGCCGCGATCGGCCGAACCTGCCGCGTCACCAGGTAAATAAACTGGCCCGGCCCGCCAGGGTGCTTACCCTGGCGAGCCACGTGCTGAACGTTGCCGACCCCTGATCTATGGCTACAGCCAGGAATAGTGCAGCCGGGTGCTGAGCAGCCTTGCCCCACATAGCATTTGCTAATGTATCTCACCCCTGATTTGTGATTTCCACTGCACATCGCTTGAGCAGGCTGGTTGCTTTTCCATGTGGCTGCTGCTCCACTGGTGATTAGGATGAGACTATCAGATTCATTTTAATTTCTTCTGCAAGCAGGGATTTGACATCCAGCTTAACAGAGGTTAAAGTTACAGGGTTAATCTACCCTAAGACTGTGTAATCAATCCATGTCCTGCAAACAGACAAAATTAGTGTTGACACTACAGACATTACAACACTTGTTCTACAGCTCTACAGACTTCTACTGCTTCCACTCAAAGAATTCTCCCTCGTGCTTTCTGTGCACCAGTCACTAGAGGGCAACATCACATGTATCTAGATAGTAGGGTTGTCGATTAATCACAGTTAACTCATGCGATTAACTCAAAAAAATTAATCACAAAAAAAATTAATTGCAATTAACCGCATTGTTAATAGAATACCAATTGAAATTTATTAAATATTTTTGGATGTTTTTCTACATTTTCAAATATATTGATTTCTATTACAACACAGAATACAAAGTGTACAGGGCTCACTTTATATTATTATTTTTATTACAAATATTTGCACTGTAAAATGATAAAACAAGAAATAGTATTTTTCAATTCACCTCATACAAGTACTGCAATGCAATCTCTTTATCGTGAAAGTGTAACTTACAAATGTAGATTTTTTTTTGTTACATAACATCACTCAAAAGCAAAACAATGTAAAACTTTAGAGTCCACTCAGTCCTACTTCTTGTTCAGCTAATCGCTAAGACAAACAAGTTTGTTTACATTTACGGGAGGTAGCGCTGACAGCTTCTTACTTACATCACCTGAATGCGAGAACAGGCGTTCACATGGCCCTTTTTTAGCCAGCGTTGCAAGGTATTTATATGCCAGATATGCTAAACATTCGTATGCCCCTTCATGCTTCAGCCGCCATTCCGGAGGACATGCTTCCATGATGATGTTAATTAAAAAAAATAGTGCATTAGTTAAATTTGTGACTGAACTCCTTGGGGAAGAATTATATGTCCCCTGCTCTGTTTTACCTGCATTCTGCCATATATTTCATGTTATAGCAGTTTCGGATGATGACCCAGCACATGTTGTTTGATTTACGAACATTGTCACTGCAGATTTGACAAAATGCAAAGAAGGTACCAATGTGAGATTTCTAAAAATAGCTACAGCACTGGACCCAAGTTTTAAGAATCTGAAGTGCCTTCCAAAATCTGAAAGGAACGAGGTGTGGAACATGCTTGCAGAAGTCTTAAAAGATTAACACTCAGATGCGGAAACTACAGAACCCAAACCACCAAGAAAGAAAATCAACCTTCTGCTGGTGGCATCTGACTCAGATGATGAAAATGAACATGTGTCAGTCAGCTCAGCTTTGGATCGTTATCAAACAGAACACGTCATCAGCATGGACACATGTCTTCTGGAATGGTGGTTGAAGCATGAAGGGACATATGAATCTTTAGCGCATCTGGCACATAAATATTTGCGACGCTGGCTACAACAGTGCAATGCAAATGCCTGTTCTCACTTTCAGGTGACATTGTAAACAAGACGTGGGCAGCATTATCTCCTGCAAATTGTAACCAAACTTGTCTGAGTGATTGGCTGAAGTAGGACTGAATGGACTTGTAGGCTCTAAGTTTTACATTGTTTTATTTTTGAATGCAGTTGTTTTTGTACATAATTCTATATCTGTAAGTTCAACTTTCATGATAACGAGATTGCACTACAGTACTTGTATTAGGTGAATTGAAAAATACTATTTCTTTTGTTTTTTACGTGCAAATATTTGTAATCCAAAATAAATATAAAGTACACTTTGTATTCTGTGTTGTAATTGAAATCAATATATTTGAAAATGTAGAAAACATCCAAAAATATTTAAATAAATGGTATTCTATTATTGTTTAACAGCGCGATTAATCACAATTAATTTTTTAATTGCTTGACAGCCCTACTAGATATTCTCATGCAGAATAAATTACAACTTAACTCCCTGACATTCTCTCTTTTTTACAATTAAGGGATGGTAAAGAGTAGTAATGTCATGACAATTTTGCAACTGATGCAGATTTAAAAGAACATGAAAACATTGCTTGATTTTTTTATTCCAAAAGGGGGGATTTTAAAATACTGACTTTCACTTTATCTTCCTTTCTTTCTATATATATATTTTTTGTCTTCTACACAGAGAGAAAAAATGACATCACACCCTCCATTGAAGAAATTAAAATCTCTCAATGACTTAGATCAAGCTAACGAAGAGCAAGAAACTGAGTTTTTAAAGCTTCAAGTTATAGAACAACAGAACATAATTGATGAGTTAACAAGGGTATGTCTAGCCCATCAGGAATTAAAAGCAGTCATATCTAACTGGCATCTTCATCTCATAACAGACAGGATTTGAGTGGTAAAATTTTAATAAGAAGAATGCTTTATTATATCTAGGATCTGAATTTTAAAATCCAGTCTCAGAGTACAGTTTTGTGGGTGCAATTATGTGTGGGCACAGTTTGTGTCATTTTGTAGATATGTGTAATCCAGCCATCAGATGTCTAAATGACAATTAGCTGTAAGAAAAAATTAGTTGCAAGAAAGAAGAATGATGTCTTATTCAAAATCAGGTCCCCAGTGTGTTTCACAAAATGATATCCTAAAAATTTACATGATCAGTAATATAGTTCCAGGATTCAATAAAATAGAAAACAGCAATCGTAAAATATATACACTAGTTGCAGAATGTCTCATACAATTAGATATATGCAATATAGTACAGAATACAGATGCAGAGTTCTGTATAGGGAAGAGAGAAAAAATAAGTTTGCAGATGAGAAATAAAGTGACGCAGAAAGAGAGAGGATTGTTCCAGATTTTGGAAACTGAAGAGGAAGAAGGCTTTGTTCCCCCAGCGGGAAGACTGGTTTTAACTAAGAAAACAGGGGCCTCTCCCCAGTTTTAGCCTTGCCGAAAGGATACATTCTTCATTGCACTGTTCACCCATTCAGTAATACTGTACATCTGAATCTTGGGTAGATCAGTGAGGTTAAGAAGTGCTGATGTTAGAATCCCCTTAATTAGCCCGTGATGTGACATAGAAGCAGATGTTGTTAGACAGTCATTCACTAGTCATTTGGATACAGCTCTTAATGTTCAATGCCCCTTTCCAGGACATTTGCAAGATGATATGAACAAAATTAGATTCCAAAGAAATCTGTTGCATCTTCTAAGACATCCTACTTGGGACACCGACATGAAGTCAACAGTAACACAGCCCAATGACTTTGTGATAGACAGATATCAACGATGCATCTGCAGACAAGGCAAATAGTATACTTCAAGTCTCATGGCCCCATCCCACTCCCCATGATGACCAGGCCCTGTACAAATTGTTTAACAGAAATGACAGCTACACTACATAAGTAAATAGCTGGAGCTTCTTTTCAGATGTCATAATTTCTGGTCACCCTTTTGACCTTAAATAGCAGTGTTCTGCACAAAGAACTAGATCCTCAGCTTGTGTAAATAAGACTAACTCCATTGAAGTCAATGGAACTATGAAATATTGGATCATATCATTTCTTAACTGTATTTTCCAGGATAGGGAAAAGCTGATTCGTCGCAGGAAGCATAAAAGAAGTTCAAAGCCAATTAAGGTAAGAGGAAAACTAGGCAGTCTTACTGTAATAATGCCAGTGGGCTTTTCGGGAAAACAATCCGTGAAAATCTGAGGAAACAGATGATGTTGGGTTCCAATAAGCTCCCTTAGCAATGGAGTTCAAAGGAATCTGAATTTCTTTGGAAAAGCTTTTCAATCCTATTTTTCCTTTAAAATAATAACATAATTATTTACCACCTGCTTTTCTTTAGATACACCTCTACCTTGATATAACGCTGTCCTCGGGAGTCAAAAAAATCTTACCACGTTATAGGTGAAACCACGTTATATCGAACTTGCTTTGATCCGCCGGACTGCGCAGCCCCGCCTCCCTGGAGCACTGCTTTAGCGTGTTATATCAGAATTTGTGTTATATTGGGTCACGTTATATCGGGGTAGAGGTGTACCAATTTCAGGTCCTGTTGGGATCAGATTTTTGTCCTGAGAAACTCTTCAATCTGTCTGCTGTTAATACTTATACTGCAGGGCCAATCGTGAAATCCTTATTCACGCAAAACTCCCTTTGACTTTAATATTCTTGTGAACTGAAATCCCTGGCTCAGATCCTAAGCAGCACTCAGCTCAGAAAAGAAGAAGGGTGCAGAGGCCTTAAGTCATTTGTGGTGCTCTGATCCTCAGTCTAGTCCAGTCCAGTCCCTGGAACAATTTAGAGCAACCCGAGGGATGAGCTAATTTACGCCAGCTGCCAGTGCTTCCATCAGCTGGACTTGGGGAACCCCCAGCCATGTCTCCTGTGCCTTAGAAACTGCTAGGTTAGCTCTGTGCCACCAGAGGACTCTCAAGTGGCCAGATTCACCAGGTTAGGGCAACTTTTTTCCACCAGAGTAATGCAAGCCTGTCCTGTCATTCAGCAGAATCAGGCCCAATAAATCCTAGGGTAAATTGAGGTACTGTCACATAACTTCATTAAGGATGAAGCACACAACAGGCAGAACTGAGGCTAAGGAATGAGCCCAACATGTCCATGTTTAACTTTATTTCTAAACAAGCAACCAGAAATTGTACTGCTCAGCAGGGTCTGCCAGTGCTCTTCATTCCAAAAAAAAATACACATACACAAGGATTTCTCAGTATCTTCAGTTCATCCCTTCTGCATGACTTAAACAGTGGGGATTTACTAGAGGGCTGTAATCTGACAGCGTTAGAAGAGAAAAGTGCTGTAGTGCAAGAGTGCATCTTAAATTCTTATTGAGCCATCTGTCTGCATAACTATTCTACTGTGTGTGCCAAGCATCAAATGCTGAAATCAGTACCCTGAAATCCAAACCTGCTGGTTAAGCAGCTCTACCATCATAGGATGTGACTCACATTTTTTCTGTGATGTGTTTAATCCAGTCTAGATGGCAGGATATTCAACCTTAACCAAAACACATAGTGTGAACAGCATTCTCGCTGAGGTAGCAGTTACCACACCAGTTTTATTTTCGCGTAACTCCACTGACTTACTCAAGATATACAGTGAGAGGAGAATCAGATTCATCATCTCAGTTCTGCACAACAGGACACCTCTGGTATTGTGGCATTGTCCTTGCAGACAGAACTAAAAGATGGTGGCCTTGCTCTGAACAGCTTTATATAGTAACAACATACGATTCTATTCCCTTCAAATGGGGGTGAAGGCTTCTCTCTTGGGATATTGATACTCTCTGATGCTACATTGTCTGATAGTTTTAGACTACAGGCCAGATGCTCAACTGATGTGAATGAATTAGCACAACTCCACGGACCTCAATACACCCGCTGATGATATGGACCTATGTTTGGTTCCTTTCAGAGGGATCTGGTGTTTGGAAATGCAACTCATGGCTCTTCTTTCATGTCTTGTGGTTCTTTTAAAGTGTCTACCAAAGTGTTTTTGGAACAGGCTAACACTGCCCCATATACAACCCCGTGCTGTTTGCCTCCAAAAGGGGTTCAGAAACCACATGTTCTTCCTGTTTTAGAGACATATAGTCGATACTGTTTTTGGCTACGATGATGACTCCATGGACTCTGAAACCTCATCCATGGCCTCGTTCAGAACAGACAGAACACCAGCAACCCCAGACGATGACCTGGATGAGGTAAGAATTGGCTATTTCGCTATAATTGGAGCTAGATTTTGAAGAGAAATTAGTTCGCAAAACAAGCAGCCAGGGCCTCAAACATTGGGTGTACAATGGGTGCTGAGCTCTTCTGTCAATTAGGCCTCAATTTTGGATATGGAGATCTTGAAAATCTAGCCCTGAGCTCTTTGGAAATCTAGCCCCTAGAGCCTGCAAAAAGCATCACTAAATATGCAAATTATCTGTATTGTTAAGCTTAGGTTTCATTTCTTTTCAATTACTTTGTTGAAAGGTACTTGTAGCTGGTACTAGTCTGGCCAACCAGTTCATCAGTCATGTCCACCAGGCAGGAAACTGAGCCCCGAATCAGTTCCTTTGGGTAGTTCCACAAAACTTGCTTTTCCCAGTTCACCTTGAATGTCCATGGCTCAGTCCTCCCCCATCAGTTTTTCGGAGTCCATAATTCTCTCCAGGCCCTGAAAGTTCCTTAACTGAGATCCCAGCATTGTACTTCCATTAGTAATGAACCACAGACACACTCATGTACTCACACCATGAGCCTCATCAGGGACAGAACACAGGGGCTTTCTGCACTAAAGGCAGAGAACTTACCACCTAAGCTAAAGTAGAGCTCCTTTACCTGCCTGGTAGTGGAAGACAGGGGAAAATCCACTAGAGGAATCCATGATCCCATGTACAAGCAAGCCCATGCACCACAACATGAATGATGCAGTCATTCCAGAAGGCACCCACAATGGGGCACTGGTTAGTACTTCTTAGGAAAAGGTACCCAGATAGAAAAACTTCCTATCTGCTCACAGTGCTTCAAGCATTGTGCGGCAGGGTGGATTTTGGAGACAACAAATTTGTTTGAATCTGTATGTCTCGTTGCTGATGCAAAAGGTAATGACAGGCCTTGAGCCAGAGTCTACTCTCACTTGCATCTGTGTCAATCTGGAATAATTCCACAGAAGTCAGTGAGCCATATTTACTACCCAGATCCCTCTGGCAAGCGCAAGTCAAACTTGGTGCAGGAAGGTAGCAATATAATTTGCCGACACCTCCTGCTCTGCCAGGATGTACAGGCCAGAAAGTGGGAGGGGCTAGCTGGGAAGGAGGCAAGGCCAGAGCACCCAGCAGATGTGCTATTCAGTGTATCCCAGCCCCAGTGTGATTCCAACACTATGCTCCTGGACACAAGGCAATGGCAGTCCCCCTCCAGGAGTGAATCTCTTCTCAGATTTCGCCGCCCTGTCCGCGCATAGAGTGACAAATTGTATTTTCCTGTGCCTGAATGGGAGAGTCAAACCTTCTTAGTGATGTGGAGTTACTCTGGATTGACACCAGTGTCACTGAGAAACGTGGTAGAAATCTACAAAGCCTTGTGATCCTGGTCTGTTTTCCTGACAACTTGCTAAGACTCCAGACCCAGAATGGCCATAATCTGAAAGAGACCACCACCACCACGAGTTTCTTTTAGATTAAAAATCCATATATATTTTCTAAATTCCACATCTGTACCACCACTGCAACATGCTCATTACCAATCTGTTTTGACTCAAGCACTTTGGTTGACAATACATGGTAAAGTTGGAAACCTACGTTGGCCACAACAAGCCACATTTTAGGCACTTCTCTCCTTTGCAATGCTCCTGTGTCTGCTGCTTATACAGCATGTTCTTTCTGTTCATACAGAGTTTAGCAGCAGAAGAATCAGAGCTGCGATTTCGACAGCTAACAAAGGAATACCAGGCCCTGCAGAGGGCATATGCATTACTGCAGGAGCAGACTGGAGGCATCATAGATGCTGAAAGAGAAGCCAAGGTCAGTCTTTGTCTGGAGGGGCGGGATGTGTTTAGCTGCAACTAGAAGCCAATGCATACAAGCCTCCCAAAGGAAAGATCAAAGTGGCATCTAAGACACGGTTGCTAAATGACAGTTTCACTCATTTTGCAGAACATATTTAAAGGGGCAACATTATTAAAGATGCAAACAATGGATGGACCCATAATATACTATTTATCTGCTGAGCCAGGAAAAATGGGTGATTCTGTACATTGGTACAGACAGTTCCCCTTTTTGTGCATCCGAGTGCAGGTTTTTGCAGGCACAAAGGACACCTGTAGGTTTTTGTGGGTTCAAACATTTCATCTTCTTTTGAACATGCGTTTGAAAGTCTTTAACAGGTGGATGTAGTTATTCTGTTCAAAGTTGCTAATTATCCAGTTTACATTAAATCTTCCAAGACTAAAAGATTTCCCATCTGTAGTGTGGGGATAATTTATTTCTCCCACCTTTTTCCTATCTTGTCTATTTAGAAAGCAATCTCTTCAGAGGAGGGACTGCCACTTGCTGTGGTTTTGTACATTATCTAGCACAGTAGAGCGCTGATCTTGGTTGGTACTACTGTAATACAATGAATAGCAATTATAAGATTTGGGGCCTGATTCTCCACTGCCTAGGCCCTTGTGTCATGATTTATGCCAGTGCAAACCAAGTGTAAAATGGGCATAAAATGCAAACAAGTCAGACTCGTAGTGTTTTACATTCACTTTGTAGGAGGCCAGACTGCTGTGCTCAGTTTCCTATGCATAGAAAATCCAAAAAAAGGTATTTCTGCTTGTTACCATTTAACGGTGTAACTGACTTTAACAGGCACAGGAGCAGCTCCAAGCAGAAGTCCAGAGGTATAAAGCAAAAATAGAAGATCTGGAAACAACTTTGGCACAAAAAGGACAGGTAGATGCTTCGTAGTGGGTATTTTTTGTTGTTGTTTTGGACTGTAGCTAATCTCTGCTTCTGCTCACATATGCATGAATCCAGGCCATCAGAGGTCCTTGGTATAGTATCTTGTTTGCTTCATGAGTTTTGCAGGACAGTAGCACAACAAGCAATTACTACTGTGGTGTAGCGATCCAGGGCTGGGTTTAGAGTTTTTAGTGCACAGATGAGGATTAGATTACAGTTGTCCTTCAAGAGACCCTGGAGAATTTTTAGTAGTGGTAGCCACTAACAAAATAAGTGCTTTGTGATCCCACTCCAGCTCAGAGAAAAGATATCAAAGAACACACATCCTTTCTTGTCATGTTGAGAGGCAGAGACATTATTATAAACAATATTTTGCATTGCTATAACAATTTCTGGGCCCTGATTTTATCCTGGTATCAAAGTCATTTTATCTCCATCAAAGTCAATGGAGTTACACCAGATTTATATTGATGTAACGGAGATTGGACTCTGGCCCTTGATTTTCAGATCTTTACAAAGCCCAATTACAGTTTATTTAAAGTCCTTTATAAATACATATTAATTAAACCTCAAAATCACAAAGTAGTTGGGGGAGAGGGGGAATCACTACTTCACCCATCATTAAAATGCAGACTTCTGGGTAGAATGTCACAATTGTTTAACACGGGGGTCCCCAACGCGGTGCCCGCGGATGCCATGGCACCCGCCGGGCTGTCTAAGTGCGCCCGCGTACTGGCCAGCGGACGAGCATCCGCCGAAATACCACCAAGAAGCAGTGTCATCCAGAGGCATCACCGCCGAAATGCCACCGATTTTCGGCGGCAGTTTTGGCGGCATTTCGGCAGCGACGCCTATTGACGTTGCCGCTTGTCGGCAGCATTTTGGCGTATGCTCGTCCACTGCCACGGTCCTCCGTGGCTCGTCGTCTGGCACCCGCCAGACGAAAAAGGTTGGGGACCACTGGTTTAACAGCACACAGGATGACTGCAGAACAACTGAGTACAGGAAATGAACATTGACTATATTTGAAACTGCAGTGGGAATTTAGGTTGGTAGAAGGCTGGGTGGGACAATAAGATTAATACCTGTATTCTTACAAAATGTGCCATAGAAACCATGAGTGCTCATGATCCCATTGTACATCCCAGTACAGTAACAGCACGGCTGTGACTCCATCATGGGGCATCGTTTCTATCCTGGCTCAAAGGGAAGGAGCACCACATTCTAATGAAAAGACTTCATGGGTTCAGAAGCTTTGCTATTAATTTATAGATTAATATATTGTTATGAACATACAGCTACTATAGATTCTACCTCTGTTAGGTAGAAAAAAAGCCTATCACTGTAATATCCAACACTGCACATTTGTTAATTATGTTCAATTTCACGTGGACTCCCGGGCTAAGCACTGAAATAGGTACCCAATTATTATATAACAGTGTTACTTTACCAAACAGGATTCCCACTGGGTAGAAGATAAACAGCTTTTCATTAAGAGGAACCAGGAGCTTTTGGAAAAGGTAAGCTCTAAGGCCTCAGGTGTTAGAGGGTTTTAGGGGGTACAATATGCATACACATTATGGATGTAGAATTTGGTGCTTATGAATGTATTGAATGGTGTGGGCAGACTCTGCTATTCTAGGTTTAGTCACACAGCTCTTCATATATAGCCCACGCTTGACATGCACAGTCCCTGCAGCAACACCGCTACTCCAAACCTGGGACAGAGACTGCCAATCATGTTACATTATGCTAAGTTTCTACCGTTGCTATCTAAGGCTGGATATTTTGATCCTGTGCTTAAAGAAGTGAAAAAACAGTGCTTCTAGAAATAAAAAGCATTCCCTCCTTGTAACATCAGCACTCTTTACTATGGGATATAAATCGGGAAAATTTGTCAAAAGTGTCTAAGTGGCTTAGGAACATAAGCGCTCAACTTTCAATGGCACATAGGCTCCTAAATCACTTACGTGTTTTTGAAAATGTTACTTATAATCTTTTAAACTGAGATTTTCAAAAGTGGTGAATGAAGTTCCCCCTTCCCATTGAATTTCAGTGGTTTTGGGGTACATATTTCCTTTGAAACTTCCAGCCATTGCATTCTATGAGCTTTATAGAGTTTGTTTGTTTTCAAAGTTCATCTGTAAAATAAAGTTTGATCAAGGTAAAACAGCAAGTTTGGAAATATCTTCCTGTTTGGGGTTTTGCACTGTTTGAACCCTCTTAATTCTTTGAGCTGCCAGTTCCTATCTTTGCGTTTTGGTTTGTTTTTGAAACAATCAGTGGTTTTGAAATGGCAGCACAAACCATGAATTCAAATATTTCTACTAGATAGAAAAACAGGAGGCAGACAACAACCGATTGCAACAGGAGCTGCAGGATGCCAGAGACCAGAATGAACTGCTGGAGTTCCGGAATCTAGAGCTTGAAGTAAGAAATTGCAGTTTATCATTCTCGGATGAACAGTTTGAGTGTCTGACTATAGTTAGAGCAGGGGACTGAGAATCAGGAGACATAGGTTCTAGTCAGAGGAGACACATGGCAGGGGCACGCGGGGGCACATCCCTCCACCTCCCCCCATCCCGATTTGCTGCTTGGCTTGTACTGAGCATGCTCACATAGACTGAGCCTGCTTAGTAACATCTGCTAAAGCCAGTGCCCTCACTCTGCCCACCCACTGTTGGCGGTATGGTTCTAGTCTTGTCTCTACTTCTGATTCACTGTGTAACTTCAGGCTTGTCACTTGACCTCTCTGTGTCTCAGTATCCCAATCTGTAAAACGAGGATAAGGAGTTCCCCAGATAAGAGACACTATACAAATGCAAATTATTATCATTATTGTTTCACACACAGTAATGTCAAAACCAGGACAGAGCTAGTGATGTTTTGTTCTGTGCTGGTACAGTGCCTAGCACAATGGGATCCTGGTCCTTAACTGGCACTACTGCAATACAAATAATAACTAATAAAACAACAACAACAGAGTCTGCAGGCAGAAAGTACCCAGACTAGCCAACCAAGTCCAAGCACTGCCATTTTAGAGGCACTATACCCCCACTCAGGCCATCTCCACTTGATGATCATCTCTTATTATGACTTTAACAAGAGTCACCCAAGTTTATACACTTACTGAAGGGGATACTCTGAAGATGGGTAAGCCACTGAAGTTCAGGTTCAGTGTCACTCGTGGCAAGATGAGGAGGGTGACTCTGAGCCTATTCTGCCCTTTCTATTAGTGTGCCTGGATCTGAGTTTAGTTGTGCTTACTCTGCTTATGGAGTCCAAAAAAATAATCCTGCCTTGCTTTGATTTTCCAGCACTATCCCTGTTTTATTCTTCTACTGTGGTTTTCAAGTAATGTTTAGGGCTTCATTTGCTCACAAATCAGAGCTTGTAGGTATCTCAATCCTTCCCTAACTCCCACAAAGAAGAGTTGTGACAGATCCTTCCTGATAAATCTTGCAGACAGCCTCAGCTGTCAGCTGTGTTTCTGTTTGGTATAAAACTAAATTGACAAATCGCTCAATTAAATGTCCCATAAACTAAAATACGTTTGCAAGTTAAATTTGGGGCCCACTCCACTCCCTCCTATGCATGATTGAAAGACTCATAGAAACCAGATAAGACATCTATATAAAATCTTTTTCCTCTTGGCCTGAGTCCCATAGAGCTGGACAAGTATTGCAAAATATGTTCAGTGAATATTCATACAAATTATTAAATGGATCAATTTGTTGTGTTCATGCTCACTTTAAAATTACTTTCCACAAACGTTATAGTGAATGAGTTTGCAGGGAGGAATATTTGCGGGAACAGCAAATTTTAACAAAATAATGGAGTTATAAATGTGAGTATTCTCACCAGAAACCTGATTCTAGGTCTATGTCTACACAACAGCTGGGAGGGTTCTTCCCAACATGGGTAGAGAAGACATGCACCGGCTCTACTCAAACTCACTCACTACAAATAGCAACATGGCCACTGCAGAATGGAGGGTGACTCAGGCCAGCCACCTGAGTAGGTACCCAAGGGGTTCGGTGTGATTGTACTTGGGCAGCTCACCCCAGCTGCAGTCTGGGCTGCTGGGAGCACACTGCTGTTTTTAGCACGCTAGCTTGAACAGAGCTAGCGCATGTCTGTCTAGCCATGCTGGGAAGCGCCCTTCCAGCTGCCGTGTAAACATACACTCATCTAATCAGGGGATAGAAACATAGCCTGGGATCACATGTCCAACCAAATTAATCAGCACAGCTTGAATTTTGAATATTTTCAGAACCTACAGAACAAGAATGATTCACCACCATTATTTGGCAAATAATTTTGGATCACAAATAAGTCTAATGAGATAAGGAGCTGCTCCCAGACAATTTGAAATCAGACAAAAGAGACAAAATCCATCAAATAAATTATTTGCTGCCAAATATTTGCCTGGGTCTAGAATCCCATACCACTTAGCACACTGCATTTTTTTCAGCCCTAGCTAAATTATAATGCAATTATTTTTGACTTTTTTATGAGGTAAAGAATTGACACACTGCAAAGCATGATAAACCAGACAGTGAATGTGTTATTTAATCACTAGATGTTCTACATAGCTTATTCATTCTAACACATTCTCCTGTGCATTTCCAATATGTTTAAAGGAAAGAGAAAGACGGTCCCCACCATTTAATCTCCAAATCCACCCATTCTCAGATGGGGTAAGCGCTCTGCAGATCTACTGTATGAAGGAAGGTGTCAAGGTATGTTAACATTACTATAGGCAGAGCTTTCAGCTCCACCTTTAACTAAGATTGCCCAGCATTTCCCATTATGAGACCCTGTTTTCTGTTGTTTATTACTTTGCCAAACTTTAACCATGTGGCCTGAGTATTAAGTAAGAGCTTGTCTACACAGACACATCCAGGAAAATTAATTAAAGGTGTGAATTTGAAGTGGATTAGTTAAACCACATTAAATCCATCTGTGGATGCTGTTATTCAGAATTAAAGTGTCCTTAGTTTGGTTTATCTTAATTCACTTAATTCTGAATGAGGGTGTTCACACGGGGGTTTAATGTGGTTTAACTAATCCACTTCAAAGTCACACTTTTCGTCAATTTGGATTAATTTTCCTGGATGTCCCCATGTAGACAAGCCCTAAGAGTTCAAGATGGCTCAGGGGGAATAGGATCCATACCCATATTGGTAATCACTGGTTCAGAGACAGCTGAAATCAGCAGTGTCTGAAAATCTTTAATATCTCAGGACTGACTATTTGCTATTACAAAATGTTTTGTTGATCTCGGTCCTGTTCCCAGGGGCCAGATACCACCACCATGATTAAACATGCATCTGACACCTTTATGTTATTCTGTGTTGTAGGATGTCAGCATTCCAGACCTCATAAAGCAGTTAGACATCTTGGGTGACAATGGGGTAAGTCAGAGTCCTGGCTAGCTTTCCTGGTAGGCTGATATTTTGTAAAGTAGCACCAGTAAAATTGGAGAAAAGTATGACAGTATATTTACCATATGATTATTTGTTCAAGAGTCAGGTTCATAGATTCATAGATTCTAGGACTGGAAGGGACCTCGAGAGGTCATCGAGTCCAGTCCCCTGCCCGCATGGCAGGACCAAATACTGTCTAGACCATCCGTGATAGACATTTATCTAACCTACTCTTAAATATCTCCAGAGATGGAGATTCCACAACCTCCCTAGGCAATTTATTCCAGTGTTTAACCACCCTGACAGTTAGGAACTTTTTCCTAATGTCCAACCTAGACCTCCCTTGCTGCAGTTTAAGCCCATTGCTTCTTGTTCTATCCTCAGAGGCTAAGGTGAACAAGTTTTCTCCCTCCTCCTTATGACACCCTTTTAGATACCTGAAAACTGCTATCATGTCCCCTCTCAGTCTTCTCTTTTCCAAACTAAACAAACCCAATTCTTTCAGCCTTCCTTCATAGGTCATGTTCTCAAGACCTTTAATCATTCTTGTTGCTCTTCTCTGGACCCTTTCCAATTTCTCCACATCTTTCTTGAAATGCGGTGCCCAGAACTGGACACAATACTCCAGCTGAGGCCTAACCAGAGCAGAGTAGAGCGGAAGAATGACTTCTCGTGTCTTGCTCACAACACACCTGTTAATACATCCCAGAATCACGTTTGCTTTTTTTGCAACAGCATCACACTGTTGACTCATATTTAGCTTGTGGTCCACTATAACCCCTAGATCCCTTTCTGCCGTACTCCTTCCTAGACAGTCTCTTCCCATTTTGTATGTGTGAAACTGATTTTTTCTTCCTAAGTGGAGCACTTTGCATTTGTCTTTGTTAAACTTCATCCTGTTTAACTCAGACCATTTCTCCAATTTGTCCAGATCATTTTGAATTATGACCCTGTCCTCCAAAGCAGTTGCAATCCCTCCCAGTTTGGTATCATCCGCAAACTTAATAATCGTACTTTCTATACCAATATCTAAGTCGTTAATGAAGATATTGAACAGAGCCGGTCCCAAAACAGACCCCTGCGGAACACCACTCGTTATACCTTTCCAGCAGGATTGGGAACCATTAATAACAACTCTCTGAGTACGGTTATCCAGCCAGTTATGCACCCACCTTATAGTAGCCCCATCTAAATTGTATTTGCCTAGTTTGTCGATAAGAATATCATGCGAGACCGTATCAAATGCCTTACTAAAGTCTAGGTATACCACATCCACAGCTTCTCCCTTATCCACAAGACTCGTTATCCTATCGAAGAAAGCTAACAGATTGCTTTGACATGATTTGTTCTTTACAAATCCATGCTGGCTGTTCCCTATCACCTTACCACCTTCCAAGTGTTTGCAGATGATTTCCTTAATTACTTGCTCCATTATCTTCCCTGGCACAGAAGTTAAACTAACTGGTCTGTAGTTTCCTGGGTTGTTTTTATTTCCCTTTTTATAGATGGGCACTATATTTGCCCTTTTCCAGTCTTCTGGAATCTCTCCCGTCTCCCATGATTTTCCAAAGATAATAGCTAGAGGCTCAGATACTTCCTCTATTAGCTCCTTGAGTATTCTAGGATGCATTTCATCAGGCCCTGGTGACTTGCAGGCATCTAACTTTTCTAAGTGATTTTTAACTTGTTCTTTTTTTATTTTATCTGCTAAACCTACCCCCTTCCCATTAGCATTCACTAGGTTAGGCATTCCTTCAGACTTCTCGGTGAAGACCGAAACAAAGAAGTCATTAAGCATCTCTGCCATTTCCAAGTTTCCTGTTACTGTTTCTCCCTCTTCACTAAGCAGTGGGCCTACCCTGTCTTTGGTCTTCCTCTTGCTTCTAATGTATTGATAAAAAGTCTTCTTGTTCCCCTTTATTCCCTTAGCTAGTTTGAGCTCATTTTGTGCCTTTGCCTTTCTAATCTTGCCCCTGCATTCCTGTGTTGTTTGCCTATATTCATCCTTTGTAATCTGTCCTAGTTTCCATTTTTTATATGACTCCTTTTTATTTTTTAGATCATGCAAGATCTCGTGGTTAAGCCAAGGTGGTCTTTTGCCACATTTTCTATCTTTCCTAACCAGCGGAATAGCTTGCTTTTGGGCCCTTAATAGTGTCCCTTTGAAAAACTGCCAACTCTCCTCAGTTGTTTTTCCCCTCAGTCTTGATTCCCATGGGACCTTACCTATCAGCTCTCTGAGCTTACCAAAATCCGCCTTCCTGAAATCCATTGTCTCTATTTTGCTGTTCTCCCTTCTACCCTTCCTTAGAATTGCAAACTCTATGATTTCATGATCACTTTCACCCAAGCTGCCTTCTACTTTCAAATTCTCAACGAGTTCCTCCCTATTTGTTAAAATCAAGTTTAGAACAGCTTCGCCCCAGTAGCTTTTTCAACCTTCTGAAATAAAAAGTTGTCTGCAATGCAGTCCAAGAATTTGTTGGATAGTCTGTGCCCCGCTGTGTTATTTTCCCAACATATATCCGGATAGTTGAAGTCCCCCATCACCATAAGGTTATAAGGATCATTCTAATAAAGGGTCTTGTTATTTCCAGAAGTTAAGGATTTGGGGAGCTGGGGGCATCAGGGGATTGGTAATTGGATATTGAGCCTTTAATCTCTGGGTCACCAAACTGAATATAGCTCCAGTCTAACTGTTATTGGTATTTGATAGTCATTTAGTAGCCTGTGTGAATTGAATTGGTGGTCTGAGCTGACCACACCACATCTCAATTAGCCTTATGGTGCCCCTACTGGCAACTTCAGGAGACAGACCAGGAATTAAATGGGCAAGAATATACATTATCCCATGGACCCTGAGCCTGCCAGAACATGGTGGAGGGTGTGTCAAAGGGCTTTGTAAAGAAGGGTCACAGTGCTGCTGCCTATTTAGTCCCTGCCATATGGATAAACAGACGTCAGTTCCCAGGACTGTCAAACTAGCCCCCTTTGACAGCACTAAATTCACTTTAAGAAACTGTACAGGAAATTCAAGTGAAAGCAATATCAGTACCTACTCAGCTGTGGACCTCACTCATGCTGGTGTAAATCAGAAGTAACTCCACTAATTCCAATGAAGGTACACCAGTGTAAATTAACCAGTGTAACTGAGGGGAGAATCAGCTCATCCTGTTTATAAGGAGTCTAGTTTTATTCTGCATTTCACATCATATACCTTTGGATTGGCACGTCCAGTCAGTCTGCACAGGTTAGCATTATGCAGAAAGGTAGGGCTCGTCACCTTTCCCAAGGTAGGATAGGATTCTCAAAGGGTCCTTAGGGAGCTAGACACCCAGCTCCTATTGAATTTACATGAGATTTGGACACCTCACTTGGTCAGGTTCCTTTGAAGATCCTAGCTATAAATAATCAATAGGCTGTACACTCTGTATTCATTGACACCTGTTAATGTGCTTGTTTGTGTAATGCTCTGTGCAATACATGACAGAGTTCCATGCAAACTGTGGAAAGTGAGAACAGAATGTGGATTTTCTTCTAACAATATAAATATGCTTTTAGAAAACTGCTATCCCTTCCTTAGCTTGGTTTTCTTCTTTTTCACTTTACAGAATTTAAGAAATGAAGAGCAAGTGGCTATCATTCAAGCTAGCACTGTGTTATCCTTGGCAGAAAAGGTACAATTTCTGTGGTGCTTGTCTCTCAACTATTAAAGGCCTATTCTACAGTAAAAAAGGCTTGCTGGAATACTTTTGCTGGCATAGCTTATACTGCTTCCCCAAAGTCAATAAGCTATCCCAACAAATGCACTTTATTGCAGGTATAACTGCATCCATACTAGAAAAGGTGCCTGTATAGAACTGGTATAAAAGAATCACACCCTCACTGACATTACCGTACCTGAAGAAGTTTCTAGTCTAGCTCTATCCTAAGCAGGGCCGACGCAACCCATTAGGCGACCTAGGCGGTTGCCTAGGGCACTACAATTTGGGGGGCGGCGACCGCGGCGGTATTTCGGCGGCGGGACCTTCCGCCGCCTCTGTGGGGGGCGGCATTTCGGGGCGGGACCTTCCGCCGCCTAGGGCGGCAGAAAAGCTGGCGGCGCTCCTGATCCTAAGCTCTGAATTTAGATCTGTAACAAATGCAGCTTCCACACCAAATGTAAGTAGTGACTGTAAACTTTATAGAGGAAAGTTATAGAAAGCCATCGACCATATATGGTAAAACTAGTAGTGGACTGGAAGGCTGAGATTCTCTAAGCCACCTAAGGGATATAGACACCCAATTCCCATTGAAGTAAATAAGAACTGTGTGTCAAAACCTCCTACTTGGTTCTGAAAAATCTCATCTGAAATATTTCTGTTTCAACTGATTTGTGTTTGCAGCTCAGATAAAAGGGGTGACAAAGGAAAGAGTGGCATGATGCCAGCATAGCCAGCTCTTTGCCACTCAGGGGTTCCCCCTATGCCAATGGAATTTCCAAGTAGCTGTCGAAGCCATCTGTAAAGCTATTTTGTGCTATAGTAGCACAGCCTTAGTAAGGGGATCTGGCCTTCTGGTTACTGTAGTCAGGCAAAATAGAGGGGAAGCATTTTGGCGGGGTCCTGTTTGTCATTGGGCACTTTAGTTGCAAGTGCTGTGGGTTACGTCTCTGTGTTTTGCACCCTCTAGTGGATCCAGCAGATTGAAGGGGCTGAAGCAGCTCTACACCAGAAGATGATGGAACTGGAAAGTGACATGGTAGGCAAACGTTTTTGATATCTGTCTGTAACAAGCCACTGAATAGATCAAAATATTTGGTGTCCCAGAGAGTCAGAAAAAATAATCTTTTGGCAAATAAAATGAATTATGTCTTCTTGATCACTGGTGAATCCATAACATTGTTGTTATTAATTTGCTTTGCATTTAATAATTGTGAGAGAGTGAAGTGGGATTTTTCATGATTAAATGCTATCAATGTTCATCTCTGATCCTGTCTGTTTTCACCTTTACATGGTGCTAATTGGTTATTATTATGGATATAGCGCTCAGAGTTTGCTGGGTGCTTTTCAGAAAGGCAAATAGTCATGATTCTTGCCTCACATCGCTCACAGACTAAATACATGGCATGTATCGACTGGCCTGGAGAAATTTAAGTAGAAAAAAACCCCTGAATTGTAACACTATGTTGTTTAAACACACTTTAAATCGGGGTAATCAATTGTTTTTTGTAAAGGTCCAAATTTCTTGGTAAAGGTATAGACAAGGTCCAGACTCCAGAGAAAATAATAAAAAATAATGACAATAATAATAATAATAATAATAATAATAATAATAAAAATATTTGGAGGTCTGTTCAAAAGCATCTGGCAACCCAGATTTGGCCCACGGTCTGCCTCTTGACTACTCCTGCTTTAAATCCTTAATATTTTAAAGGCAAGGCGCTCATAGCTGAATTGTGCTCAGTATAACTTCAGCAAGGTCAGGATTTGGCTTCTTTCTTAGGGTACGTCTATACTTACCCGCTGGTTCGGCGGCAAGCAATCGATCTTCTGGGATCGATTTATCGCATCTTGTCTAGACGCGATAAATTGATCCCGGAAGTGCTCGCCGTCGACGCCGGTAATCCTGCTCCGCGAGAGGAGTAGGCGGAGTCGACGGGGGAGCCTGCCTGCCGCGTGTGGACCCACGGTAAGTACCTTTAAGTTCGAACTAAGATACTATTCACGTAGCTGAAGTTGCGTATCTTAGTTCGAACTGGGGGCTTAGTGTGGACCAGCCCTTAGTCTCCTTAACTGGAGGAAGTAATATACCTGAAAGATTAACAAGTTTACATGGACTGTAAAGTAATCATAATCAATAGCGTAGCTAGCGGGGTGCAGAGGAAGCAGCCGCTTCCCCTCAGCACACTTTGCAAAAGCGGCACCTTTGCAAAAGCGGCCGGAGGAGTGAGGGGGGGCACAGCCGGAGAAGGGGGGGGCGCAGGCTGGCTGTGGCCCGGCAGCCGCGGCCGGAGGAGCGAGGGGGGCGCACAGGCTGGCGGCAGGCCGGCAGCCGCAGCGGGAGGAGCGAGGCGCAGGCTGGCGATGGGCCGGCAGCCGCAGCCGGAGGAGCAAGGGGGTCACAGCATGGCGGCCGGGCAGCCGCAGCTGGAGGAGCCAGCCAAGGGGGGGGCGTGGAGCGGCTGGAGGAGGAGCCGGGGGGCGTGGCCAGAGGAGGAGCCAAGGGGGGCGCCTTTTTTAGGTTTGCTCCCCCTCCACTTAAAGGCTGGCTACGCCACTGATCATAATGGTTCAAATTCTGGAGTTACTCCAGTATAGACCAGAGCACATTTGTACTCTGTTACCTTACCAAAGCAAACATAATTGTTTTTCCTTCAGACTTTGCTAGATATTAATCTGATATTAACAACCATGCAAGGTCTCCATTACTGACAGATCTCATAAATTCCTGCTCCCATCAGACATCTGTGGTTGATCAAATAATACTTTCCATGGCATGTCAACTAACAATTCATTTTTTCTGTCAAAATTATTATTCATTGCAGGAGCAGTTTTGCAAAATAAAAGGTTATTTGGAGGAAGAATTAGACTACAGGAAGCAAGCTCTTGACCAAGCATATATGGTATGTACAAGGAAAATGCTACAGCACACGCCATAACAGGACATAGATTCATATTGGTTCAGGGGGAGTGAGGGTTTTACACATCCTTCCTAACTTTTTCACATCTGCCTTTCTCCATGCTGCTAAACCACCATCTTGCAGTCTGCACAGCCTCAACATGGTACTTGGCCTCTTCACATCATGAGAAGCCGGATACTCTAAAGTAGAAACTCTTAGGAGTTAACAGTAGATGTCATTCCTTAGAGTCACCTTGCCCAGTTGGAGTCTTGCAGACAACCAGAACTAGACATGTGCAGGAATATTTAAATATCTCCTTTAGTGAATGTCCAGGGCCGGCTCCAGGCACCAGGCACCCAAGCTGGTGCTTGGGGCGGCACCTGGAGGGGGGCGGCGCGGCGCTCCGGCCGCCCGGGAGAGTGGGGCCACAGAAGGGCTCGCCGCCCTCCCCCCGGCCGCCGGGGGG